ACGGCGATTTGTTGTTACACTCCGTTTCTAAAGTGAATGTTATGTTGGGATGCGCAGCATGGAACCCGTTTATTAGTTCCGCTATGTTCGATGTTGCGTTGATCACACAATAAATATCATCTATGTACTGAGTGTATAGCCTACAGTCTTCCATGGATGACTGTGATTGAGTGTTTTCAAGTTTCGCCATGAATAAGGCAGCGAAAAGCGGTCTCAACAGATACCCTATGACCATACCATCCTCTTATCGATAGATCTCATCGTATAACTTAAACTGAACATTATACGGACAGAAATAACACAGCTGTTTTAGATCATCCCAAGGGAGGCCGAGCTCTGCATTATTGGTTTGTACATAACAGTACAGGTATTCACTCGTTTCGCTGATGGGAACATTTATGAACAGTAAGCTAACGTCCTCCGAAAATAATGTTTGATCGATCAAGTTTATGACACGAATTTTGTTCACAAAAGTAAATGTATCCTTGGCACAGTGTTTCGCCAAACTAACTTCAACGGGTTCTAATAATTCGGCCAGCCGTTTTGCCAGGGCATGGTTTGGCGAGTTGCACATACACAAAAATCGGTCGTAATGGCACTCCATCTTTGTGTACTTTTGTCAATCCATACAATCTCGGAATAACAGTTCCGGTTGGCCTAATACGTTGGAAAATGAATGCATCAATGACTCCCTTTATTTTAAGCATAGCAAAATTTTAAAGAGCGCCTAGAAGAAGATAAACCTACTATGAAGTCGATCTTTGAACGTAACAGGTATCCGGGGCGTCTAGTCAACAACATGATTTACTGCACGGAAAACTTTTCACAAAACTCCAAGGTTTAGAAAAAATCCGTGTACATTTCCTTGCCGTTCAAAGCTGAGTTCCTCCCAAGAAGATTATCCGACGCAATCTATAAGGATTTCTATGCATCCAGGCTTCATGTGTTGTTCACGTCCAAGCCACTTGTGTGTTTGTGACTGAAGGACAATTTTCTACACTCTGCTTTGTAATTCTATATGTATACTGGTTTACTTGTACCTGTGGAACAACGCACGATTCTTTGGACGGATTCGTGGACACCAACCAGCGTGGCTGAACACGGGAACGATTAAGTCATTCACCAGTGCAATGGTTTCACATTTAGCTGAAACAAATCACACTGTGGACGTGTCCGAGGCTTTCCATTCCCTGTATACAGTTCGTGGACGATTATCGATGCAGGTTCGCTGTCGGATTTTGGCTACAGCAGAAGCAGTGGACATTCGTCTGCACAATCCCCCTCCGTGTGTCCCAAAAACAACTTGTGCAAGCGCTAAAGCTTCCCTGGCCCACCCCCCATACAAACCGCATCGTGAGTAATCTCGATGATCGGATGAGTGGACAAACAAACATGTGATCGTGGTGAACCCGATTACTGGTCTCACGATGAAATCGTTTCTAGTAATCTGTGTTTTTATTTTCCCAAGACAGTTTTCTTCCCAAGTAGTAATATATATTTAGATGTATTGGCATTAACATAAATCTCTGAAAGCGGGTACATTTGCATTATGTTGTGCTTTTCATGATAGATTCAAGATCCATGCGTCTCTTTGAGTAATTTCATTTGATTTACAAGAAAAAAGTGCTTTTGCTGGACAAATGGATGCCTGAAAAACCACAAGTTGAATATCGGTCGGGCCAGGTAAATTACCATTTAATTTTAATGTGAGCTTAACTTTTGTTTCGAGACAGATCGAAAGAACTAGATAGACGGGAAAGATGGTTTTCCAAATGGGTAACCAAGACTGTACTTTGCCGCAGCGCACACAGACGAAGGGGTTTTTTGGGAAACCCTAACCGGAGCCTTTGACCAAAAAGTCTGACCCATAAGGCAGTGGGGCGTAAATCCAACGCGGGAGCGTGAACGAAGTACCCGTGTGGGAGATTTTGGAGACCTGTCCTGCAAGGCCTTCGGTTTTCGATTCAGTGTGCTGTTCGCTGGTGCGTCGATTATCGGTCCGCTTTTCGGGATCAGCCCTTAGCCTCATGCACCCAATGAGACAAGCGGAACTTAGACGGGACAGCACAGGTAGTGGGTGGCACAAAACCAAGGGTGGTCAATCTAAGACCTGAGTTATATAGGTCCCATTAGGCAGCCTGATTGGAGATCTCAGGTTGGTCATAACCGATGGTTACAGACACTGAGTGATATGGCTGATTGTTGTAAACAGTGGCGTTCGTGCATCTTCTCAATTTCTTTCCAACCTTAGACCACTTAAGTTCTGCATTTTCTGTTCCAGTCTACTCTCAACCTTCTGTCTTTCCCCTATTCTTCATCCAAATGGGCAGCCAAAAGACAACAACCGAAACCGTCGCACGAAGGTGCACGGTTAATGGTTGCACAAACTGAAACTGAAACCTGGGAAACATCTTTTCCCTTTGATCCATTTGAATGAAATAAGCAACACAATATGAGCAGAATTGAAATTGGCCATCAATTTCGCGTGCTCTCAATCAGCTTTCTACGCACATTGAATCGGTGGAGTTTTATAAGAAGAATACCATATATATGGACATGGACATAATTATACAGGTTCAGGTAGAAGACACTGGGTTGCTGAGTCATAACCAAAGTCATTTTTGGGGTATGGGTAAAAGAGGAGGAGGAGAGGAATGTTAGCATAGAAACAGTTACGTAATGGAAAGTAATGATTAGCCGTGATGGAAAGATAAACTGAAACTGAAACACAGATAGAAAATGAGCTATGGAGAGCAACAGCGCAATAGACAGTCCAATTCTACATTCGTCTGGCTGTTCTATCAACAACATCGGAATAGGTTTTCTTTTGAGGCCAATAGGAATACGGATGAATTGCCTTATTGTCAGGTCGCTCTTTGAATGGTAATGTGACGCAATCTGTCTGCTTTGGATGTGACATCATGGTTTGCAAACCGGATATCTTAAAAAGAATTGTACACATGTAAATGAGAATCGGATAACCGTTTGTATCCCAGTCGTTAATTTAAACCAGCCACTATATAGTGCGCTGCAAATAGAACAACCAGTTTGACTGAAAGCAGACGTGGCTCCTATGAGATTGCGCTTCTCACTTCCATTTACCGATACAATTTTTACAAAAGAGGTAGTTCCGAAAAAAAATGAGAAACCTTTGATTCAACTTCTGGTATGAGACGGATTGCTTCGTCTTGATGACAACAATCAAACGCGTATAGTGACGCGTATATTGCCTACACCACAACTAGGTTTACGTTCGAATCGGAATTGAGAGTTAAGTTTCATTGAAAAAAAAGAAACCGACAATGCGTTGCAGAAGCATGCAAAAGAACCCTTAAACAAACTGGCACTGGGTGAGACCGTCTTTCTGCAGTTGTTTTCCTCAGGAAATTTAGGAGGAACTCAGTTCAATACTTTGTTCATAGAGGAAGGAGAATTGGTTCCGGGGACTGTGTAACTCGGAAACTGGGAATGATTGTCAAGTGCATTGATAGAACACCTTGCAGACACGGCTTATCATCACCAATAAACAAGGACGCATTCAGAGTGATCTAAAGAACACCAGTAAACCCGCCGAAAGCCAGGTCTTTGCCTGAAAAATTCAAGAACAACCTAGTTCAAAAACCGTTGCCTATTGCGCAAGAAGAATTTGTTCAGCAGGTTGTCTATCACAGGAACTGAAAATTATCAAGCAAGAAGTCTTCTTTGTTTGTCCAGAACAATGTGTTCTCAAGAATCTGACAATTCGGCCTCCGAGACCCCCACTGGCAACCGTGAACAGAAAAGAATTCTTTTTCAAGGAGATTACAAAATGTGAGTAACTAAGAGGCCGACTGAAAAAGGCCATCGCTCGTACTTTCGCTGCTGCAATGCTACCTGTAACGAACTGACTTTCACAACACATTTGTTATTTTGAATGCTCACTTTTTACTGCCTCATTTACGAGATTGGATGGTATATTGCCCCACATCAGACGCAATACACTTGTAATAATATACACACCTATGTGTTTGCTTCTATTAGCCAAATGCCATTCAAAAGTATGGTTTCGCGAATTGGACAATGATGGCTTGTGGATCAGTTGTAAACTAACCAAGTCACAGTAGAAAAAGTAACTAGCATTTATTTATTAAAATTATTTATAAAATTCATACAGCTATTGCACTTTTATCCGGTTCATGTTTCATTTGCCCTTGTTCATTTTTGAGCACTAGAAGTAGTCATTTTCGCAGCGAGTTGACTGTCAAACAGAATTTTCCAATTTCTCTAATACAACTCACACATCAAAACACTTAAATTAGTCACCAACTGAATCATCGGATTTAAGCGCCTCTCGATTAAGTTGCCTCTAGGCTGCAATCACATGCCAAAACCTTTGGAATGTTTTATCCAGTTTGGGTATGGTGACACCATAAGATGCTTATTCATCGAGCCGCAAACCTCAAGATCAACTTTCGAAAATCGACTTTTATGTTTCTTGGACTATGTTTTTATATCTTTCAATATTATGGATAATGCGTGAGTAGTTTATAACAAATGATTTATCGCTTCATTTGAGCTAGAAAATGTGCACTTTTGGTTTATTCACTGTGCACTGAATGAAAAAGATAATCAATTTAGAATACGTGTGCTCAACTTAATACACACTCTCATGGTACAGGAATCATTTACTAAATAGAATAAATTCCCATACTGGTTTGCTTAAAATATTTTCGAAATCGCAGCTGCAACTTTCGAACTACTTCAAACTCTATCGCAACTCTCAAGGTCACGCAAAATCAAACGGTGATAGAAAACAATTAAGACATCGGAGTGAGAGATAAAATCAAGAATAAAAACAGTTTACCCATAGCCATCAATATATAAAGTGTGATATTGGTGGATGATGTTGCACGAGTTTATTGAACCCCTGTACAAAGTTCACAAGCCTGCGTTTGGTTTCCGTAAATCTTAAAAGCACAACCTATCCTCGCTTCATCATCATTTCGCCACATTGTTCGCTCATGTTTGGTAAGTTATGCAGGAACACTGATCCGGCAATTGTTGCAAAATATCAACCAGCACAAACCAATCCCGTTGAGTACGGTAACCGAAGAAAACGATTAAAGTGACGTATATATATATATATGTATATATAAAAGCTTGAATATTCCCATAATAACATTGAGAAAACGAGTCGGTGAGCGAACAATTGTTTTCGGATATTCCTAGTCATGCTCTTACATATCATACAGTGAAAAAAAAAATTATTACATAACGATAGCCATTGGCTCATTTCAAGGTCAATATTCGGAGGTAGGCAGTGATGGGTGTGTGTTTGTTTGCGTGTGTGTGTTTGTGTGTGTGTGTGTGTGTGTGTGTGTGTGTGTGTGTGGATGGGTGGGTCGGAGGGAGTT